CTCCGCGCCCGCGCAGCGCCCGGGGCTGGGGCCGGGACGGCGGCGATCCGCCGGCTCTGCGGGACTGAGGGCTGCGCGCTGGCGTCCTCCCCACCCCATCGCACGCCCTCTCTCCACCGCCACCGCCGGGCCCTCCCACTCCAAGCCGGCTCCCCAGACTCGAGTCTGGCCCTACTCCCCCCGACCCCCCACCCCCGGGATCCCGTCCACGCCCGGTGAACAGGCAACGTTCGCGGTTGCTTGCTTGCACCTCCTTGCTTAGTCAAGGTGCCGGGTGTCTTATCTCCAAAGGACCTTTCATGTTGCAGGAAAGCGGGCGCAGAAGGGACCCCAGGGGCTAGGAAATAGGACGTGGATGATTTCAAGACAGCAGGGTGGGGAAGGAAGGGCGCCCACTTTTGAGCAAGGTCTTCAACTCTCTAGGTGGGCTGCCGCACACTTCGTGCTGGCTGCTTCTCCGAGTCTCTCTGGCCACCCCTCTTCCTTCCAGCAGGCCTCACCCGGAAGGTTTGGGAGAAGAGCATCGTTCACTGCAGTGCTGGAAAATGACTTCATTATTCAAATGCATGAACTTTTATTTACAAAGAGCATCTTGTTTTCATCCTAAAGAGGTGCTTTGTAAGGGCCCAGAACAAGGCCTGCAGTGTATGAGCCTGTCAGATATACTGCCCACAGCCTGGACCTCTTCCTCTTGGCCTGCAATCTCGTGCCTACTACGTGTCTGAGGCGGGAGCCCTCCTGAGATTCGGGGAGAAGTCACACTGCAGTGAGGCGGGCCACTCGTGGATGGGTGAGTGGCCATTGCAAGGGATGGGTGCTTTTGCTTACGTTGACTTCATGACAGAGCTTTTCCTTAAAATCCTAGCGTGCCTTAGAGAAGTCCAGATGAGACAACCATGAAATGATACCCGGGTAAGTTTCTAAGTGTTTGAAGTCACAGACGGTCATTCGAGAAAGCATCCTCATGAAGCCTAATTATTAGCTCCAACTCATACAAGGTGTTTTATACAGAAATAAATAAAAATAAAACAACTGTGTATTGTGCACCAGTGATGTGCTAGGTGCTGAACATACGTCATTTCTAAGCTTCATGGTATTCCTGCAAAGTAGGGCTATGGTTTCCTTCTTATGGGAGAAAAAGATGGAGGTGCAAAGAGACCAGGACCTTTCCCCAAAACCACACAGCTGAGAGAAAGCTGAGTTGAGGTCTCATTATACCAAAGCTTCCCTAGGTCACACTAACACTCACCAGATAAAGCCCATGGTTTCGGGGGAGGGCACCCCCATATTTTGAATGCCTTCAGTGTACCACAATTTAATAACAATTATTTCATTTAATGTAGTCCGGAAGATAATCCCAAGAGGTAATTATTGTTCTCCACACTGGCAGTGGAGGAGTGGTGCTGTAGCTATAGCCTAAGTCACCCTAATGGCAATTAAACTGAGCTGTAAGCCCTCAACTTCCCTGCTCTGAAAATTGTTCAAACTATTTTTCAGGATTCAGGTATAAGACTCTATAGGATCTGATTTAAATGATCTTGAGAAGCAAGGTTTCTGAGTAATAGAACTTGAGGGAGGAGAATAGGACCCTTTTGGACCAACTTTAAAAGTACAAAGGTATCAGCCGGAATTAGTCACAAGTTCCCTCTGTTCCTGCCTCCCCGTATAAACTATCCACCAAGACTGGGATTACAGTTAATCACCTCTCTGTATCCCCTTACCTCAGTCCACTTTCATTCCTTTGCTGCTAGCAAACAGGAAGACAGGCTTGAGGGTCCCTCCTGTCTCCTTGTCAGGGGGTCTTCAATAAATTTTCTTTTGCAAAAATTAAATGCCATATTATTGACTACAGTGCACAACAAGCCATGAACCCTTGCTCTGTAACAGGAAGATCCTTTATTTGAAATAATAAATGATATGATACAAAAGAGCCAAAACAGAAGAAACAGAAAGAATTCTCATGGATCCTGAGGTATTTGTAATGTTTTCACTTGAAGATTAAAAAAAAATAGCATTGCATGGAACTGTTAACTGAGGCAATCTTCTTTCACACAAGCTGGTTAACCTTATTTAGTGACAGAGAGGACATGTTTGGTTTGGTTGGTTCTTTCGAGAAATTTCCATTGGGAAACAAGGTGTCAAGACACTGAGGGGGAACGATAATGTCCTGTCTGCCCTCCCTTTACTGTTTTCTGAAGGGTTACATCCTATTTTCCTTTAGCTGTCAATTAATCTCCCCTGTGTTTACCCTGAGACTTATCCCTGCCCTGCAGGCAGTGTGCAGGTTCTACAAGAAGGCCTGAGCAGTAAGGAGAGGAGTATATGAGTGCCGGACATATAGATTTCTTATTTAATATCTAGTTCCAAAGATTTTCCTTTATCTTTTTGCACTCACTATTATTATTTTTGAAGCAAAGATGCACAATACAGAGCATGAATATTTATATGAAATAAAACATGGCTCAAATCTTAGGCCTGATTCTAAGAGCGTGACACAAAATTTAGTCTGAGTGTCAGTCTCTTCATCTGTAAAATGGGAATAATGGTGCCTCTTCCACTCCATTATTATGAATACTAAATGAAATAATGTAAATAAAGCATTAATAGATTTGCATGTAGCCAGTGTGCAGCAAATGCTATTTATTTATGCAATATTTTCAAGTTTTGAAAAACAACAGAATGACTATTTCTAAGAAAGAAAATTGATCAGTCTTACATTCTTTTTTTTTTTTCAGTCTTACATTCTTACATCTAGTAATCTGAGCAACTTCATTGAAGATAGCAATATGTAATATAACAACCGCTGTTAGTTCCTATCATTTTGTTTTGAAATCCTGTATCATTTTTATAGTTTTTGTGATTTTTGTTTTTGCCTATGTTGTTATTTTGTTATTTTTAAAAATTCTCTTTAAAATAAAAAAAATTAATAAAAGAAGAAAAACAAGCATGTTTATTAATCCTGACTGCCCATGAGCGGAGAATAGCACATTTTCATTACTGGCTGCCCATGTGCAGAGAATAGTCATTTCATTACTGGCTGTATTAATCTTTGAATGAGGCTGCCTGGGTGATAGAGTAGCAGAGCCAGCAGGCAAGGAGAGTGCATATGTGAGAATTTTACAGCAACTGGCAGACAATAGAACCAAGGGAATCAGTTCCTCACCAAAGGCCACTCTCTGACCACGAGTGAGCATAGGAGAATGGTTACTTTTGCTGAGAGTACAACTAGGGCGCATTTCCAGGTGCTGCTCTCTTGTCATGATGCATCTTCTTTCTTTTTCTGGGAAAGGGATGGGTGTTCGCCATATACCTTCATGGCCATTGTCTCCTTTGGGACGCCTACCTTCCCCATGATCAAAGGAAGGCAGCTCTATCACTCCCGGGGTACAGAAGAAAGCACAGACATTCAGAGAGGCTAAGAGGCTAAGAGCCCTGCGCAGGGTGCCCAGCCAGTGTGTGCAAACAGAGCGGCTCACACCTTCCAACTTCCAGGCCAACTACTTTCCTAACTAGACCAAGTTATTTTTAGTTCTGACAGCAGCAGATCTGGTGGCTTTGAGGCTTTATCAAAAGAAAGTTCTCAAACTCCCCTGAGTCCCCCAGTGCGGTTTTCAGTAGATAAGCATCAGGGCTGCCTGTCCCTCCAGCCCTTGGCTGTTGGGCCTGTCCTCGCATCCAAGGAGCAGGGGAGGGTGTTGTTAACACATCCCATGTGTGCTGCTGTTTATAGAAAGCCATGTCAGATACTATTTTGGATGCGGAGGTGCTAATCCCAACAGAACTAGACAGGGGATTGTTGTGGGAACTGTGTACTAGTGACAATATTTCATGATGGCATGGCTAGGGAGGCAAGTGTGAGCCACGCTGTCCCCTACTGTGCACGCTGTAGCTGATGATCCTGCGGTGGGAATGGAAAGTGTAAGATGCTCTGCTCCTGCTAATATTCCTCTCCTCTAAGCCCAAGATTCGCCTTCATGAACAACTGTCACGGAACCTCAGACCATGTGAGGAGGAGCAGGACAGTTAGAAGATGACAGCTAGAGGCATTTTAGATGTTATTCTTCCTCCCATGAATTTTTTCAGGCTTTTGATCAGCTGTGGCTTTTTGTTCTGTTATAGCTTCATTTGGTCCTGAGTATATGTTATTTGCATTCTTTACCACCCATCCATTTATTAATTTATTTAATCAGCATGTACCGAACACTTCAATATACCAAGTTATATGGCTGAGGATAAAATAGTGCAAATATGATCCTAACTGCGAAAAGGTTAAGAATGGGATGGGACCGATGTCTGCAGATCCTGTAAGGAACGCTGAATGATTAACAGGAATTCAGAGAGTAAATGCAGACAGGCTGCTAATAAAATTAACAGAACAAGCTTTTACACAGATGCAGCTGGGAGAAGTCAGGGAAGATTCTAGAAGCAGGCAGCTTACTGGCTGGGGGAGGGGAACAGTGCTACAGGAGTGGAGAACCTCACAAGCAGAGGGAGAAAGGCAGTAGCTCACAAGGGGCAAAGAAGCCATGTGATTTTTACAGCTCTCTGAGCTTCTGTTCTCAGGATGCAGTTCTTGCCCTTTGGCCCAGAAAGACTGGGTGAGAAGAAAGTATTTTGCAGCCCTTGCTGGCCTCTCATCCTGCCTTTCAGGGAAGGCCTGATATGCCACACAAGG